GAGGGGAGGGAAAAAGAGAGGAGGGACGAGGGCGAAGAAGGATCACATCAGTCGGAGCGCCCTGGATCGGCGGCACTGGCCGAAGGCCACTACAATATGTATATGTATATATATATATACATATATACACATACACAGATATATATATATATATATATATATATATATATATATATACACATACATGTGTATATAGATGACACACAAATCCCAGGATTCACCATATTTGCAATATTTTCTCGGTTTTCGTCTCCCCCACCACTTCCCCTATGTTCCAATATTTCCCTGGGGAGCGACGATTAGTTGTGTCTGTGTTTTATCCCCTCCTGAGTTTAACCCATCCCTATCTCCACGGGCGTGGATGGGGATAATTATGGGCCGTTCCCTTTGAGTTTCGAGGGGCATGTCCCCAACTGGGGTGGTGGGATGGTGGGGATCTGGACGGGGATGGAGAAGGGGACAGGGATCGGTCAAACGATGCTGACTCCAAGGCCCCAGAAGGCTTCTCAGAGGGCCGGAGGGCCTCTGAGAAGCTCCGCCGCCGTCCGAAAGGCCCGCCCACTCCCACTGCCCCGCTCGGGCGCGCCGCCGAGCCTGGGCCCGACGAGGACGGCGAGGACGACGTCGACGAGGGCGACGAGGACAAGAAGGCCCTATAGGCCCTATCCCCCTGGAGATTTCTTGTTGTTTTCCATGCAGCTCGTAACCGAGCTCATGCAAAAATAGAGGTTGTCATTGTCGAAAGTCATCGTCTACATCCGAAGCGAGAATATGAGACTCGAGATGTCTGCCCTCTTCCCAGGTTTCCTGGAAGCTCCTCGCCGCCACGGCCAGAGCTGCCGAGAAACAAGAGCCAGGAGAAGGACCCCAGGAGGGGCCCAGGCCGACGACGGGGAGGACGACCCCCGCCTCCTCACGTTTTGAAATATCCGCCGGCCCATTGTGGGTCTCCAAGCGTGCGAAATGTCCCCACCGTGTGGACCCCCCCCACTGGGTCCAAAACTACGCGCTTGACCCGCCCCTCCCCCCCTGCCTCCGGGTGAACTACTCCGGAGCTTATGTCGACCTGCCGGGGCCGAAAATGGCGCCTCGACATCCCCACGAGCCCTCCCAAAACGCTCCAAGATACTCCCGAGGTGCTCCACAAGAGCCCCGAGACGACCCAAGGGGGCTCCAAGACGGCCCAAGAGGCCTCCAGGGAGCTCCAAAAAAAACCCGCAAGGGCCCAAGGAGTAGTCCCAGGGCGGGGCGGGGGGGCGAATTGACATGTTCCAGATTCTTACCACAAGATGGCGCCCAGGGCCTCTGACATGCCCCGAAGAGGCCCATAATCGTCCCCAGCACGCCCCAAGACTGGGACATCCTCTGACGTGACTTGATCCATACCTGCAGCGCCAGAGCTCCCGACACCTTCCGCAGTCTTGCGTCCTGGATATATGTCTGATTGTCCAGGGGGCCAAGAGCAGGCCCTTGAGTTAGGTCGGGCATGTCCCCATTCAGGCGGAGTTCGGAGGACAAAAATTATCCGGGCGAAAGACCCAACCATATGCAGTTGTGAGTGCCGCAATTGTGAATACCTTCTTCGGTGGCGCTCCGTATGGGGCCACGAACCGCATGAGGGGTAATTATGCCGAAATATGGCGGGGTACACAACGAAAAGGAATACGATAGGTCAGATTACGAAAGAATGAACGCGGGTGAGCCAGAGCGCGAGAGAGTCTGAGTGTGAATGGGTTTGCGTGGGAGTGAGTATATTTGCATGAATGCGATCTTGGCTACGCCTAGTGTAAATGTATATGAATGTGAATGGCTCGAGCATGCCTGTCCGAACACTCGTGACACTGGGCGTGGCCGCCGCAGGCAGCTTCCGCGGGAACCCCGACGGCAGCGCCCGCGCGCCGCGACGCCCATGTCGGCACGTTCTCACGGGGATCGCACCCGCTTCCGCCCCTTCTTTTCCCCCCTCTTTGCCTACGCGCTCCAAAAATCCAAACCTGCGGGCGCAGAGCAGCGCGGAGTCCCCGCGACGCGCGCAGGTCGCCGCGGAAGGGGCCCCAGCGACGCGCGCAGGTCGTCCGCTGCGCGGAGCACAGAGAGCTAGCCTGCCGGCTGATTGCGGGCAAGGCTCCGGCCGCTGGGCAGAGCGACGACGGGCGAGCGAGGCGCTGAGCAGAGCGCCGCGCGGAATCCCCGCGACGCGCGCTGGTCGCCCCGAGAGGGCCCCAGCGACGCGCGCGGGTCGTCCGCGGCGCGAGGCCGAACAATTATGCGGGAAGTCGAGAGAAGGCGCGGCTCGGGGGGGGCGCTCCATAGGTCAGGCCTCGCGGATAAACTCGGTGAAGCCGAGCTCCCTGGCGAGGGCCGTCGCCTCCCTCCTGCACCGCTTCGTGCGCGCTGCAAACTGCTCCAGCTGCTTTCGCAGGCCCTCCGGCGGCCCTGCCAGGAAGAACTCGATGCGCGGCGCCCGCATGAGCAGGAGGTCCTCGTGGCGCGCGGCGCGCGAGAGCAGCGCATAGAGCTGCAACCACCAGTCGTCGTCCTCCTTTTTGCCGTTCCCGACCTCGTGGCGGCCGCAGTCCAAGATCACACCTGGGCGACTCGGCCGAGGGGGCAGTGCGCCGGGCAGCCGACGGCCCAGGGCGAGAGTCCACAGGACCGAGGTCTGGCCGCGGACTGCTCGCGCCCCGGAGGTCTGGCCGTCCCCGGAGCGCCGTTCCCCCGCCCCGTCGCCTTCGCGCATGGTGCGCCCCTGGCACGCCACCGCGGCGATGACCCTGCCGTGCGAGAACGGGAAGCCCGCCCGCGTGACCTTGGAGGTGCGGAAGGTGAACGGCTCCGACGTGCGGGGCTCGATGAACACCAGCGGGCCCGCGAGGTCCCCCGTGAGGCTGTCGTCGCGGCGCTTGAGGTCGTCCACGAAGGGCGCGCTCGCGTACTTCTCCATGCGCACCCAGAACCCCAGCGGCAAGCGCTTCAGGTAGATCCTCTTCTCCCCCTCTCTCTCGGCTCTCTCGACGTCGTCCCGATCTCGAGGGTCCACGACGACGTGCACAATCTGCCCCTCGGCATCCTTGACGAGGCCGTTCTTGAGGTCGAGCGCTTCCAGGAGCCGGATCCGCATGCCCACGTGCACCGGGAGCAGCCCGTGCATGCCACCGGTGTTCTTCGGGTTGGCACAGTTCATCATCTTGGCGGCGTCCTTGACGCCCATCGTCGGCGCAGACCTGTCGGCGGCCTGCACAAGGAAGAGGGGCTTCTTCAGAACGTCCGCGCCCCGCTGAGCACGCATGTTCATCCACCGCGCCACGGTGTCCCAGTAGGACCCGATCATGTGGCCGTTCTGGAACCTCTCCTCCCGGAGGCGGCGATCATCGGGTTTCAGCTGCATGGCGTTCCACGCGGCCCGGATGGCCGGAGTGGCCTGCTTCCCCGGTCTGCGCAGGAACGCCATGAGATCTTGGAGCTTGGGGTCCTTGAAGCGGTTGGACGCCTGGAGCTCGAAGCACAGCGGCGTGTTGCAGAAGAGCTTCATCACTGCCTGGTACTCTGGGGCGAGGTTGATGCCCGCCGCCGCCAGTTCCTCGAAGCTGGAGATGAGCGACACCTTGCCTCCCGTCGGCTTCAGCTGCAGGAAGTCCCCCAGGTGGATCACGATGGGCATCCGGCCGAAGGCGCCGCCGACCTGGTCGTACTCGCGCTCCTCCGCGCCCCACTCGGCCTTGCGTCCCAGGTAGGACCGGAACGCCAGCATGTTGTACAGGTTGGGCGAGATCATGCTCACCTCCTCCAGGATCAAGCACCTGACCGCCTCCCACGTGTCCTGCAGCGCTTTCAGCTTGCCCCCCGCGGGTATGTCCTTGTTCCTGAAGGACTGCACTCCGATGACTCCCGCCCGGTGGCAACTGACGGCCATGTGAGCGTCCGTGGAGATGTTTGCGGCCTGAGACCACTTCGCGCAGACTATCAGCGTGGACTTCGCCTTGCCCGTCTCCACAGGGAACAGCGCGTCCATGGCCGGCAACACGATCTCCTGCACCATGGCGGTCTTCCCGCTGCCGCCCTGGCCGAGGAGCAGGAACTGGAACGTCTTCCGCTTCGCGTGCTTGGCCATGCTGCCGTCCTCGATCTTCTGCTCCTCGCCCCACACCACGTTGCAAGCGTTTGCGAACGCCGTGACGAACAGGGCCTGGTCGGGCTTCAGAGGGCGGCGCTCCTTCTGCCCGGTGCTCGGGTTGACCACGCCGTCCTCGAACTTCTTGACGAGGCGCTTGACGAGGTCGCTGGGCCGCTGCATCTCCTCCGACGGCTCCCACCGCGCCTACGCCGCCTCGGCTGGCACCGCGCCGGCGCCCGCTGCCCCGACGTCGTCCCGCGCGGGGGCGTCGTCCATGGGCACGTCCGCGTCCTTCGTGCCCCCCTTGGCGAACCCCTTCCGCTGGGTCTCCACCAGGTCCTTCAGCTCGTCTGCGTCGAGGTCGCGCAGGGCCCTGAACGGAGTGAGGACGTTCCCCCTCAGGGCGCGGGCTGCGCGCCGCGGCGCGTCGGCGTCAGTCGGCCCGGGCAGTGCGCCGTTCTCCATCATCGTGGCGGCCTTCTTGAGCTCCTTCACGAAGGCCTGCGTGCGCTCGGCGGTGTCGAAGCGCAAGATCTGCCCGAGCGTCTCTGGGTCGAAGTGATGCTCCAGGACCGCGCTGGCGCCCAGCTTCGCGAAGCCGTCCTGAGCGCGGATGCCCTGAACCTCCACCTGCGCGGCGCCTGCCCCCGAGTCCTCGGCGCCCTCCCGGAACACGGGGGCCTCCGCGACCTGCACGTCGTCCTTCTGCGGCCTCTTCGGCTTCGAAGCCTTCGCCTTGGAGATGCCGTCGAAGTTGGCCGCGGTCTTCGTGGTCTCCAGGGCCAGGTACTCCTGCACCGTCAGCATGCTGTCCAGCCAGTTGCCCAGCTCCTTGCACTGGGCGCACTGGCAAGGAGGCTGCACGTCCTCGCGGCGGTCGCTGCGCTTCTCGCGCAGCGCGGACTCGACCTCCTCCGTGATCCAGATGCTGGGGGTCGCCCAAGACCCGACGTCGTTCCTGAGGCACTTCGCCCGGGCCGTCTTCGCCAATTGCTCCTGGGCGGTGGCGAACGACTCCCAGCCGCGCTGGAACGGGCCCGAGACGCCTTCTCCCGCCGGCTGCGCCGGCCACTCTAGCTCGCCCTCCGGCGCCGCGCGCAGGTGCTCGTACGCGCGGAGGTAGCGCAGCTCCTTCGTGTCGTTGGGCCCGTCGGCGTCCGGCAGGTGCACTGGCCGGAGCAGCACCGACTTCATGAGGTAGTGCGTCTCCACGTTCGACTCCGCGCTCACGAACTGGAAGCCGTCGGCCTTCGGGATGCGCGGCTCGACGGCCAGCCTCTGCGCCCAGTTGCGCGCCGCCGAGTAGGACGAGTCGAAGGCGATGTCGACGTGCAGGGTGCGACCCCCGCTGCCCTCGGGATCCAACTCCCCGGCCGGAAGGGCATGCAGCGGCAGTTCCACGCGGTACACCCAGATGCTGTAGACGTACAAGCTCATGTCTCGGACAATAGGGTGGTCTCCGCGGTGCATCCAGTCGTCGTGCTGGCTCAGCACTGCGCCCCTGAATTTGCCCTGGGCGAGGCCCTCGACAGTCGGCCCCGGAGCCTCAGGCACCTCTTCGGCCTCGCCTTCCCGCATCCTGTTCAACGCCTTCGTCACGTCGCGCATCGAGCCGCCGCTGGCGTTCGCGATCTGGAACGCCTGGTGCGCGTACTCGATCGCGTCGAACTCCTCGCCGTCGGGGCTGACGTACACCGTCTCGCCCTCGCGCTGCACCTCGCGCCACCCCGGCATCGTGACCTGCTGTCCAGTGCCGGGGACCGCGTACGTGATCGAGGCGGCGGGTGCGCTTTCCGCGGCGTCGGCCTGGCCGTATCGCCTGCTCCAGGACTCCGCGGCGAGGTAGATGGATTTTCGCATGAACACCTTCCAGCAACGGTGCGTCATGAAGGAGAGGTGCCCGAAGAGCATGGGGAAGACCATCTCGCTGCCGCTCTTCCACGAGGCTCTGCGGAAGCAGGTCTCGAAGCGGGCCAGCACCTGCAGCGTGCGCTTGAAATCCTCCTTGCGCTTTCCTGCGGCGGTCGACTGGGCCTCGTCGCCGGCGCCGCCCGCGGCCTGCGCCTCCCTGTCGTCCCACTGGCTCTTCAGGCGGCGCACGCCGTCGAGGAGCTTGCAGAGCACGTCGTCCATGCTGGGGTTCACCTTCGTGGTGTACGAGTTGACGCAGTAGCTCGTGTTGTGGGCGTCCACGAATGTGGCCAGCGCGTGACGCTCCAGGTCGCCTTGGAGATCGGCGCGCGCAACGTCGCCATCGTCCACGGCGGGGCTGTCGCGGTTCGCGAGCTCCCTGAAGATCTCGTGCCAGTCGGTGACTACGACGAGGTCCTACTTCTCCGCGGACGTGGTGTTCAGATGCTGGAACCATCCCCAGTCATCCCGAGCGCCCACCGAGAAGTCGGCGTAGCGCTGAGGGTAGAGACCATGGTTGTAGCTCTTGCGGTCCTCCTCTATCGCCGGCGGTTCCAGCTCGGACGCGTCCATCCACAGGCGCGGGGGAGCACCCGTCATGTCCTGCACGTCCACGTTGCACCGCGCCGAGACGACCGCCGCGTACTTCGTCGAGGTCTCCCCGGGGTGGAGCTGGAAGATGGCGACGCGCCCGGCCATGCCGTAGTCCGTCTCGCGGAAGATGCCGATGCAGCCGCGCAGAGCCATCCCGCGCGTGCGGAGCCGGCACTCTTGGGAGTCCCCCCCCTCGGGCCACGTGCACAGTGTCACCAGGTTGTAGAAGTTGTGGCGGCAGATCTGCACGCCGCGCGTCTCGTCGGAATGGTACTTGTAGCAGGAGGGGCTGCAGACGTGGATGCCGCAGCCGATGACAAGCTCGCGCGCGTCGCGGCACATCTCGCGAATCCACTCGTCGCTTGGGAGAGACTCCGCCAGGGTGCCCCCGCCGCGGTACCTCGGGAAGATGCCGGAGGCGCTGCTGGAGAGCGGCCGCCGCCAGTACCCCTTGTTCTCCGCGGCCCTCTGCTCTGTCCACGCCGCATCGCCGTCCACGGCCTCGCCGTCGTTGTTGCGCAGCGGCAGATCGGGGCGAATCGCCCTGTGGTAGTCGTCTACCTTGGGCTCGTAGAACCACAGCTCCTGCGGCTCCGTCTCGCCTTCGACCCCGAGCTGCTCTGCAGTCGCCATCTCCGCGCCCCCGTCGGCTCTGAAGTACCGCTTCTCGTTGGGCCCGAACGGCAGCGGCGGCACCGCGACCCCGCACTTGTTCTCGCCCCCCTGCAGCTGCAAGGGCAGCAGCTCCACGGCGCTCTGCTGGGTGGCGACCACGGCCTGCAACACCTGCCGCATCCACAGGTTCAAGCGCTCCTGGAAGCGCGCCTCGTCGCGCTGCAGCATGTCCAAGAGCACGCGCAGCTGACCCTGCAGCAGCCAGATGAGGATGCGCGGGTGCAGCGAGCCGCGGCCCTGAGCCTCGACCGGACCGAAAGCCGCCGCCAGGGGGCCGAACACCGTGGGCACGCCCATGAGGTCGGCCGCCACGCCGTCGGAGATCCAGTGTTCCGAAGCCTTTCGAACTTCTCCTCGCCGCCACCCGACGGTCTCCGGGCGCAGGCCGAGGACGTGGACGAAGAACAGCCTCATCATCAGCTCGAACACCACGGCCTGGCCCACGGGGTCCACGGCGATGCGCTGCGACATCTCGCTGAACGTGACTTGCTCCGCCTCGGTCAGGTCGTTGTCGAAGGTGTACTCCTCCCCCTGCACGATGAGGATCAGGGGCTGCTTGGTGTCCGCCAGATTCGGAGTGACGAACTGGACGGGCGGGCCGAAGCGCAGGGCATACGCCTCGCCCTCTCCGCGCAGCTCCCGCCTGTGTCCGTCGGACCCGACTTGGCTGGCAGCGGCCTGGCCCAGGGTAGCGAAGGCCTTCCGCACCTCGTTCGGGGTGTCCTTGTCCTTGAGGATGCCGCGCAGCGTGGCCTTCCCGCCCGTCTGCTGCGCCCTGAGCTGCACCTCCTCGATCATCTCTGGCGTGATGTCCGCGCAGGCGCGAGCGGCCCCGAACGCCCCGGGCGTCTTCATGAAGGTGTAGGTGCTGTTGGTCGTCTCCGTGACTCTCCAGAAGGAACACAGCAGGTGCACGTCGTACCAGGAGCTCCGGAAACGACTGATGGGCCTGGCCACGTACTTCTCCTCGTCGGCAGGCACGTCGTACTCCGTCTCCTCCCGCGTGAGAAGATTCTTGATGAAGTGCGCCACGCTGAAGCAGAGCCGACCCTCCTTCTGCTTCTGCGGGCCCTCGTCTCCGTCCGGGGGGAGCTGGCCGAGGCCCCAGGCGCAGTCCCCGTAGCAGAAATCCGTGGGCCTGGCAATGGACCAGTACTTCGGATTCCACCAGCTCTCCGCCTTCCTCGAAGTTGGCACCCGAAGCTTCGCCTTTCGCTGGCCGTCGGGGCTGGGCGGTCCCTGCAAGGAGCGCGGGTCGTCCTCGGCGGGAGTCCCCGCGACTCCTGCAGGTCGCGCCGGGTCGCCCGCGCCCTCCTCCGCCTGGCAGTTGTTCGTCTCCAGCGCCTGGACGCGCCAGCGCAGCTTCGCCATGTCCTCCCCCGGGGAGATCTTCCGACAGCGCGCGTGGAACTCCTGGCAGAGGTCTCGCAGGCGGTGACGCCCGATCTCGTCCAGCTGCAGCGCCCTATCCCCGCCCCCCTGGTCCTCGAGCCTGGACATCAGCTCGTTGGCCACCACGCGCCCCGCCTGACTCTCCATCCTCTCGAGCATGCCCTGGAGCGCCGGCAGGGGCGCGAGCTCGCTGACGTCGTCCATGTGGTCCTCAAGGACGGACAGCCACTTGGTCAGCTCCTGCGCGTCCTCGGCGGCCGCGCTCATCTCTGCCTGCGCGCCAGTGGTGGCCGACGCGGGCCCCTGCGCCTGCGCGACGTCGTCCAACGCCGCATCCGTGGGGACATACTTCGCGCAGGCCAGCGTGAAGTCGGGCACGCCCGGCTGCCTGGGGAACCGGTCCACGTGGTCAGATCGGCACTGCACGCCCGGGTCATTGCACACGTAGTTGCGCTGCTTCAACAACCGCGCCTGGGCGTCGTACTCCGCCTTGTCGACGTGCAGCGCCACCTCTTCCCTCGTGGCTCTCAGGGCCCTCTCCTGCTTCTGCTCCTCGGTCAGGGGGATGCCCTCCTCGTCGTCGTCGGCGCCCGCGAAGACGGCCACGAACGTGTCCCCGAGCATGTCGGGCTCCGGCGGGAAGCTCCGCATCGCGTGGTCCACGATCCCGTTCCCGAACACGATTGCGGCGCCCTGCAAGGCGTACTGCAAGAACTACTGCCTCCACGACTGCTGCTCCTGCCGGACAGCCTTGTCGGCGCCCTTGCTGGACAGGTAGATCTTCGTGGACACGGCGCGACCGAGCGCGAGCAGCATCTGGTGCGCGAGAGCGGCCTTCCTGAGCAGGGGGTGGTGGCGGCCCAGCCAGAGGTCGTTCACCAGCGCCATCAGCGGCACCCTGGGGCGATCAGACCACAGGTCTCCCCGGCAATCGTCGCACACTCTCACTGGCACCTTCCCTTCGAGCGCCTCGGGCGGCACGCGCCTCTTGTGCAAGAGTATCTTCGTGGACGTCGGCGAGCCCTCGCAGTCGTCGCGGGGAAAGTCCACGGCCGACGACATCAGCTCGTCGCGCGGTATGAGGGGCCACCTTTGGTGATACCACTCGGCCGACAGGCAGTCCGCGAACTGGGCCCGGTCCTTTATGGTGCACTTGTCGCCGACGAGGTACTCCGAGTGGAGGTTCTCGGACCGCTGCTGCATGGCGCTGCAGACGCAGGCCTTGAAAGCGCGGGGCTCCCTCGTCTGGCACGCCGCCTGAGCGAGGGCCGCCGACTCCGCCGCGTCGGCCGCCTGCCGGGAAACCTCCTCCGCGGGCCCCCACTGCCCGATCTTGCCGATGATCCTGCCGATGATCTCCGCGTGGAGAAGCTGCTTCTGCACCTCCGGTTCGGGCTTCGGGACGAACGGCTCGTCCACGGGGTCGACGGTGGCGCAGCACTGGGACATGTGGAACCTGGCAACCACCTGCAGCGATGGCGGGAAGCACCGCCCGACCCCCAGCGCTCTCGATGCCCTTATCGCTGGCGCCGGGAGCGCCAGCGTTAAGGGCTGGGCGCAGTTCCCCGCCGCCCGCTCGCCTGGCGCTCCTCGGTCGGCGACGGCTGGTAGGGCTCCAGCTCGCACCGCGCTACATGCTGCGACTGGTACCACCGCTGCCCCCCGTGGACTCTGCCCTGGCGCGCCTTGAATGCCTCCCGGTTCGGGAACTCGGCCTCGCACATGCGGCAGGCATAATGCAGGGCAGGCGCGGGGCACTGGAACCACTCAGAGCGATCCCGAAGGCGCGCAGGCATGGCCGAGTGCCGGGGCGGGCCGCGGTCGCAGGGTCTGTGCTGCCACGCATCGGCCAGGTGCGCCCTCAGCGGGTTGCCGTCGTCCTGCGCGCCCGGCCCGTCGCCCACCGCCAAGCGCACCGCGGCCGCCGCGGAGTGGGCGCTGTGGGCGGAGTTCAGACGCTCGTCCAGGAGCTCCGCGACGTGGTGCATGTGCCACTCCCCGCTCTCCAGTCGGCGCTTGGCGTCGGAAATCTCCTCCTCCGCCACCCCGAGCGCCTCCCGCAGCCTGCCAGCCAACCTGTCAGGCCGATCGGGGGCGCGCAAGAACGTCGCCCATCGGTTGGCGCAGTCGTCGCCTGCGTAGACGAAGAAGTCGGGGTAGTGCTTCAGCAGGTCATCGGCAGTGGCCAGCGGCTCCAGCAAGTGCAAGAGCAGGAAGAGGTCGCCGCACTCCCGGCGCGCGTCGCAGGCCGCCTGCAAGCTCTTCGCCTCTCTGCTGCTGCGCAGGACAGGTGCGGCGGCGTTGTTCTGGGCGTCGTGCCTGGACCCGTCTGCGTTGTCGCCCTTGCTCTTCAGCTTCCGCCCCTGCCGCAGCACCTCCTCTGGCCGGCAACCGCGCTTCTGGTCGTCGCGGCTCTGCTGCCTCCCAGCGCGGCTTTGCTGCCTCTCCTGCTGCCTCCCAGCGCGGCTTTGCTGCCTCCCAGCGCGGCTTTGCTGCCTCTCCTGCTGCCTCCCAGCGCGGCTCTGCTGCCTCCCGGCGCGGCTCTGCTGCCGCCCAGCTGCGCTCTGCTTCCCTCGAAGGCGGAGCCGCTTCCTGGCAGGGGCGCCGCCCCTCGCGGACGCCGCGGGCCGCTTCCGCGCGCCCGACAGGCTGTCGTCGCAGGCCCCGCCCCCCCCCCTCGCACCCCCCGTCGAGGCGGGGGCAGCCCTCACCGTCCGCGCTCACGTCACCCTCGTCGCCCGCGCCCCCCGCGCTGTCAACGACCTGCCCGGGCGGCCACGGGCACTCCGCGGCGCGGGCCGCTCTGGAGTCCACCGGCTCAAGGAAGACCAGCACGGGCATCGCATGATGGGTGCCGGGCGGCCGCCGGGCAACGTGCGCGCGATCGCCCAGGTCGTCGGCAGTGCACCACTCGCCCCCTTCCTCGAAGTGGGCCACGTAGTGGCCTTCGGGGTCCGTCAGGAGGCCAGCAGGGGCAATGCTTTTTTCTTCGGGCAACTTGCACTGGACGTAAGAGCGCAGACGGTACACGACATCTTCCCCACCCACCTGCAGAGCCACCTCGGGCACGTCACCCCAGTCGGGGAGATGGCCGATGCCGCTCATGTAGAACAACGTGTCGCCACGCCTCCATCTCGGATCCACGTAGACGGCCAGCACCTCCGGCCTGGTTGCCAGTGCCCTCATGGAAGTGCCGCGACGTATCAGATCTCGCATGTTGAGTTTCTGCGTGCCCTCGACGATGCCCATGAACTCCTGAGGCGATATGGCGTCGTCGCCGTCGTCTGCCCCGTCCACGAAATACGGGGGACGCATCACGACCTCCTCCTCGCCGTTGGACGAAATGAAGTGGAACAGATTGTGAAGACTCGGCGCGTCTTGCATCATGTCCACCAGCGCCCCGCTCGCGCCCGCGCACCCCCCGAGCTCGTACTCGAAGCGGTGCTTCGCAATGAACGCTTCCACGAGGGCGCGCGGCGACCAGCTGTCCACGCGAAGGCGCGCGCGCGTCGCCGCCGTCGCCCTCCGCCAAGCTCGGCGGCACCCCGCGCACGCAGGCGGTCGCCACGGCGCGCAGCTCCTCGAGGAGGGGCGCGAAACCCAAGCCGACTGCCCCCCGCCCCCCGCCCCCCCTGCCCACGCTAATCGCCCCCCCTCCCCTGCGGAGGGAAAAACACAAAAGTCGACCAGAGGCTGTGTTGGAGCCGAGCGATCGACGAGATTTCCCCTACCCTGGGTCCTGCACGACCAGCGGCTCGCCCTCGCCCTCCACCCCCAGGAGCGCGGCGCGCGCGGCGGGGCAGTGGAGGAGGCACTGCAGGGGCGCGTTGAGGTAGCAGGTGTTGCACAGGTTCGAAAGGCACGGGTACGGGCGCTGGCCGCCGCGAGACCGATGCAGGGCGGGCTGCCTCCAACGGTCCTCGTCGTGGACGTCGTTCCCCTCGCACCAGTGCTGGTGCAGCATCAGGAGCGCCTGCTCGGCGCGCGCAGCGCGACTGTCACGCTGCTTCGCTGCCTCCGCCTGGGCCGCGAGCGCGTAGACGCGCATCATCAGGCCCCGCGCGGCCGGCGTCAACTTGGCGGGCCGCCTCGCCTTGCCCCACCTTCGCGCCAGGTCGTTTTCTGGTCCACCATGCTTGCGAAGCGGCATGCGGTCGCGCTGCTTGTGAAAAGCCAACACGTCCTGGAATGTCATGGCAAATCGATCCTGTTTTCCCCCGGCCGTCCGAGGAGTCGGCCCCCGGCTGCGCGCCGACCCGGGGGTCCGCCGGCCGCGCGCGCCTGCGGCAGGAGTGCCCAGCGTCTGTAGACGCGTCTTCGAAGGGGCCCCCGGCGTCGGTGGCGGGCGCGGCGACGCCGCCCGCTTCCCTGTCATCCTGCGCCGACCTGGGTCCTCCAGCTGGCGCTGCGGCGTCTGCGGGCCCTCCCCATCGACCTGCGCGGGCTCTTGCAGCAGGCGGCGGAGCTCCGCGCGCCAGTCTGGGGCGTGCGCAATCCGCTCCCGATCCGCCGCGACTGCAGCCCGGGAATCCCGTAATGGCCCATGTAGAGAGGAACCATCTTTTGCCAGCAGCCGCACTTGGAAACTCACACCGTGTGCTCGTTCTTTCTTCTCCACACTGATCCGATATGCGGCCCCGCTGCCCTTCGGGGCCATCTGCGCGGGGCGCTCCGCCACGCGCGGGCACGGGCGGGGCCGCGCCTCCCAGAGTCCCCCCGAATTGCGCCCGTCGTCCCGGGCGGGGAGTCTGGGCGACGAGCGGCGTCTGTCCGTGGAGGGCCGTGCCCAGCGCGCGCCCGCTGCCCGACCACGCCAGCTCGAGCCGCAATGTTCGCTTGCAGTGTCGCGGAGAATGGGCAAACCTGAAGGCCAATGAAGGGGAGACAGGAGGACGAGGGCGATGATAACGAGGACGGCGAGGAGGAAAAAGCATGCGTGCGTCGTCCGCTGCCAGGCACAGAGACTGGATGGCCGCTGGGCAGACGAGATCGGCCTGGGATGGCCGCGAAAACGTGTAAGATTCATTAGATGCGCCTAAACCAGAACAACTGACGACTGGGCCTCCTGAGTCCCTTTAAAAGGATCGACTCAAAAGCTCTGATGATGATCAAAACGCACGAAAACAAAATCTGATGTGACGCATGTGCGCTTTTGCTATACTTTGCATGCAACCACAAAACGCATACTGTCCTAAACGCCAAACCTCGACCCCCCCAGAGCCTCGGAGGCTCTGGGGGGTTCCAACAAAAGTAACGACGATCGTGGGGGGGTGCTGTTTTGTTGGGGGGGTCTTTTTTTCAAAATTCGCACGGGCCCGACAATTTCGACGACGTCTGGTGGGTTCGAGCAGCCGTGCGTTCTGGATGTCCGTCGTTTTTTCTCACGTCGCTATAGGAGACCGCAAAAAAAAGCGGGAGACCCCCGGAATTCTGCCATGAAAATTACAGGGGGTCTCCCCGCTGCTCCCTCGGAGCGATTTCGTGGCAAACCTCAAGATGCATCCATGAAGATCGCGACCCACAACCCAGGCAATATGGCCCGAATCTGGCCAGGCCTGCTTCCAACACGCCGCCAAGATGGCCTGAATGAGTTCCAAGAGGGGTGCAAGAGGGCACCGAGACAGACCGCAGAGTGCCCAAGACCACCAAAGATGGCCTAGTAGGCCGCGCGGTTGGAGAGCAGAGAAGAGGCAGAGCCGACATATGTATCGACGTTGTACTGATTCGGACACTTTTTCTGAACGGTGGCGCCTTCTATGTGTGGTCGCTGCTGTAGGAAGGCCGCATATTTGGTGCTACTTCGGGCCGCGTTTTCGCGGCGCGCCCGGAACGGTTTTTTTTTAAGCGCCACGCGAAAAATTATGCTAACGTCCTTTTGGTTTGGAAGATCTGGCTCGCCGGACGCAGCTGCCTTAACTGTGGTTTTTTTGTGGTGTCCAGAAAAACCGGAAGTAGCACCAGCGGTCTTCGACAGCCCGGAAGCCCCAAAACACCGAGACGTCTACACGGACCCGCACACGTTGACTTTTTATGGAAATCGTTTCGGGCCTCGCCTGCCCTGGCCTCGGACGACGACGACGACGACGACGACAACGACGGCGGCGGCGGCGGCGGCTGCGACGACGACGACGACGACGACGACGACGACGACGACGACGACGGCGACGACGAGGACGAGGACGAGGACGAGGACGAGGACGAGGACGAGGACGAGGACGAGGACGACGACGACGACGACGACGACGACGACGACGACCTCCTACTCCTCCATCCGCGTGGCCCGCTGCCTTGCCCGAGGTATGTCAAGGGCGACGATGATGATGACGATGATGATCACGATGACGATGACGATGACGATGACGATGACGATGACGATGATGATGATGATGATGATGATGATGATGATGATGATGATGATGATGATGATGATGATGATGATGATAGTGATGATGATGACGATGATGATGATGATGATGACGACGACGACGAGGGGGCCGGCAAAATAAAGTGCGAAGTTAGATTTGGATGATTTCCGAGGGAGGGGGGATCAGAGAGATCCTTACAAAAATCTGGTGGTCCGGGCCGTTTCGCCTGAGACGTCCTCACAACTCGCTTCTGAGCTGGCCGGGATTGGGCGTTTCGCCCGAGACATCCCCGCAACTCTGGGCTCCGAGATGCCGCGCGCGAGGCGGTCCGGGCCGTTTCGCCCTGAGACGTCCTCGCAGCCCGCAACTTCCCCGGCGGTGCCCGCCCTGGCCTCGGACGACGACGACGACGACGACGACGACGACGACGACGACGACGACGACGACGACGGCGGCGACGACGACGACGACGACGACGACGAGGACGAAGCAACGACGACGACGACGACGACGACGACGACCTCCTACTCCTCCATCTGCCCATCCGACCTTCTCTATTGGATACCTCCGTCCACCCCCGACGTCACAGTTGAACATCACATGCGAAACTCGCCAAATCAAACTTCGCACTTTTTTTTGCCGGCCCCGGTAGACAGCACTTGTGGCCCCGACTTAGTTTTCACCTCCTGTTCCTCCTCTTCCTCCTCCTCCTTCTGTGCCTGAGCCTCCTCCTCGTGCCTCGCGGCACAGTGGCGGATGATGACGGGTTTTAGTAGTAGTAGTAGTAGTAGTAGTAGTAGTAGTAGTAGTAGTAGTAGTAGTAGTAGTAGTAGTAGTAGTAGTAGTAGTAGTAGTAGTAGTAGTAGTAGTAGTAGTAGTAGTAGTAGTAGTAGTAGTAGTAGTAGTAGTAGTAGTAGTAGTAGTAGTAGTAGTAGTAGTAGTAGTAGTAGTAGTAGTAGTAGTAGTAGTAGTAGTAGTAGTAGTAGTAGTAGTAGTAGTAGTAGTAGTAGTAGTAGTAGTAGTAGTAGTAGTAGTAGTAGTAGTAGTAGTAGTAGTAGTAGTAGTAGTAGTAGTAGTAGTAGTAGTAGTAGTAGTAGTGGTAGTAGTGCGGTGGGCGCATAGTGGAGCTCCCTATGGGGCCACGAAACGTGAGGGGTGTGCCGGGCGCATGGGAGCGCAGCCACTGGGGCCTTCGTGGAGCTCCCTGTGGGGCCGTGTGCCGAAAGCGTAACTGGGGCCTTCGTGGAGCTCCCCATGGGACCACGAAATGGGTGTGCCGTGGGCGGTGGGCGCATGGGAGCGCAGCCACTGGGGCCTTCGCTGGAGCTCCCTATGGGGCCACGAAACGTGTGAGGGGTGTGCCGAAATGGGTGCGGTGGGCGCATGGGAGCGCAGCCACTGGGGCCTTCGCTGGAGCTCCCTATGGGGCCACGAAACGTGTGAGGGGTGTGCCGAAATGGGTGCGGTGGGCGCATGGGAGCGCAGCCACTGGGGCCTTCGCTGGAGCTCCCTATGGGGCCACGAAACGTGTGAGGGGTGTGCCGAAATGGGTGCGGTGGGCGCATGGGAGCGCAGCCACTGGGGCCTTCGCTGGAGCTCCCTATGGGGCCACGAAACGTGTGAGGGGTGTGCGGAAATGGGTGCGGTGGGCGCATGGGAGCGCAGCCACTGGGGCCTTCGGTGGAGCTCCCTATGGGGCCACGAAACGTGTGAGGGGTGTGCCGAAGTGGGTGTGGGTGACGCATGCGGGCGCGGGCACTGGGACCTTCGGTGGAGATCCCTATGGGGCCGCGAAACGGTGTACTGGGTGGGTGAAGAGGAAAGGAGGAGAGGAGTGGAGGAGAGGAGAGGAGATGAGAGAAGAGGAGAGGAGAGGAGAGGAGAGGAGAGGAATGATGATGATAATGATGATGATAATGATGATGCTGTTGACGATGATGATGCTGATGACGATGGGGATGATAGGAGGGGAGAGGAGGCGGAGGAGGAGAGGAGGAGAGGAGACGCGGGCCACCGTCTCTTCAAAACGAGGACCCAACACCACAGGATGGTTGGGAAAAATAGCAATTACCCCAGTGCGACCCTACCTAGAAGTTGGAGCCCCTAGGAAAGCAGCATTAGTTGATATACTATGATGTGCTATGCTATGCCATGTTATGCTGCGCTATGCTATGCTATGATATGCTATGCTAGTATATGCTGCGCTATGATATGCTATGCTATGCTATGCTAATATATGCTATGTCATGCTGCACTATGCTATGCTACGCTGCGCTATGCTATGCTGCGCTCTGCTATTCTAAAGCTCAGCGAAGCTAAGATGAAGGTAAGCTAGCTAAGATAAACCTGAGCTAAGATGAACCTAAGCTAAGCTAAGACGGAACCAGCTAAGCTAAGATGAGATAAGCAACGCTAAGCTAAAAGGACATAACTGGGGGAACCGCGGGGCGGATCCTGGGGAAACCGCCTGGGGCGAGCCCCAATGCCCGGCCCTTTAAGTAACCGGGTATGATCCCAAAATACTCGGATAACATCGTCCTCATACTATTATTTGATTATTGATTATGTTTGAATATTCCTCATGTAGAGGGACACGCCCGACTTTACCCTAGAGGCCGAAATCCAGGAAAAGCGCCCAGATTGGAAAAAATACATCGTCGCAGATCCCGCCAAGACGGCCCAAGAGGTCACTCGGGTCCCCGCGGCGGGGCGAGTGAGCTCTGACCTTCCCGCCGCGACAAGCCGCGGGGAGCGAGCTCTCGCGCGGCATCCGCAGCAGGCCCACGGCGCACAACGGCGGCCGAAGACGGCCGACGATGAATGAAGGGGTCGGCGGATCTTCTTCCTGTATTGGGGCCCGATGCTGAAAATTGGCAGCTTCGGAAGAGGACTCCCCCATCCCCATGCTAGAGGAGGCCGGCGAGAAAGAGGAGGACGGGGAGGAGAGAGAGGAAGAGCGAGAGAGAGAGGAGAGAGAGAGAGAGGGAGGACCAAGACCGAGAAGCGAGATGCCGAATGCGGCGGACTAGCGAGGGGTCGGCGGACGTGGTGTAAGCCCAGGCAGCCTCCAAAATGGCCCCAAGACGGCTCAAGAGGCTCCCATGAGAGCCCCAGGAGGGCCCAGGGGGGGGGGGGGCACAAGGTGGCCCAAAAGGGTCCTCCAAGAAGGTCCAAGAGGCCCCCAAGACGGCCCAAGAGGAGCCCGAGAGAACCCCGAGGCGCCTCCGAGACGCTCCCGGACGGCTTCCGAAGAAGCCAGACGGCGTAAGAGCGCTCCAAGACGGCCCCAGAC